TGATAGAGGCCCCAAGGGGGCCTTATCTGCAAGTAAAAGACAGAGCTAAGCAATGGTGATTAAAATGCAAAATGTTAAAGGTGTGTTGCTGTTGTTAGAGAAGCCAGCTTCAAGCTTCTCCTCCTCTCTGTCATCACTTTCTTAGTGCTTTTTCATGAGCTCTACAAAGCTACTTGTAAACCCCTGGTGAGCCATGCCTACAGATGACAGATTGAAGGGGCACATAGCAAATCATATCACTGAAAACCTTTTACAAATCCTGCCCTGGGTATTGCCCCAAAATATTCTTTTGCTGTGTTAGTACTGAGGTCTTAAATTCTTAGCTCTTCATCTATACATTTCCAAGCCCTATCAGTGGATGGACGATAGCTTGCCTCACCTCTTTTCTCTTTTCACTTTCTACTTTTCAGGTGTTGCCCAACTACAAAGTCTGAATCATTTTTTAATTCCAACCCCATCCAAAAAGATTCTCATTGATTCCACAGTTAATTTTTTTTTCTCTCTCTCTCTCTCTCTCTCTCTCTTTTTTTTTTTTTTCAGCCATGCTGGCTTTTAGCCTGGCTGCAAGTTCTCCTCCAATAGTTTGAGAGACAAATTTCTGTCAGGCGTGATGGAAGAGCAGTGGTTTCAGAAACAATTACCTTCCTAGAAGATTTGTTAATACCAACAGCATCTCAGAGGAGAAAGAAATAAACTTCATTAAACATCATTATTGTTCTTGGCAGCTGGTACACTCTGGCCAACCTGTACCTACCACTTTTTACCTAGCAGGGTTGATGATCACGGTGTGGGGAGGAGATGAAATCAATGTAGTAGGGAAGGAGGTGAGCCGAGGGATGCAGGGAATAAATATGTCATAAATCAGGCCTCCTTACTGCCAGCTCTCCACACAGGAACTGTTTTGGGCCTAAATTAAATCTAAGTTGTTTTATTTCAAACATGTCAAAAGCTTGACTGCAGCTTCAAACAGCATTATTTTTGCGGAGGTAAAACCGGTACCTAATATTATTTTAACAAGGCCTTTTAAAATGTGCATACATTTCCAGTCAGCCAGATTCTTTCTTTTTGCTGAATACTGAACATTCTTTTCTTCCCCTCACTGTTGTCTTTGGCTGTCGAAATCGTACTTTCCACTTTCACAAAAACTGTAGGGGCATTATGACTGCATGTATAGATTCAAGTAGACCATTTGCTTTCTAACAAAATGGCTATGTTAACTCACCTCAGAGAAGTTCAAGGGCTTACATACAATGCCTGTGTAGCTGTGGCTGGAAATGCAATTCCGTGCATTTTCTAGTAGATTGCTGTGGTGAATAGCTGAAAAGAGCAATGTTCTTCCTTACAGGAGACTGCACTTCAATGACAAAATGATGCCTCCACAAACTACACAGAATGGGGTCCTTGAGGAAAACTGGAATGCAATTGCGTGTTATAATCTGTCTTAACAAACTGTTTTCTCCACAGGCATAAGTAAAATGTCCTGCCTGGAAGTTCGTATAGCTAAGTGTTTTCCACCATAACAAGCAAAGCTGCATAATGTTTCACATTTTCTTATCAAATTATGAATATTAATTAGTATCTTCTGATAGCACTTCCAGGAGAAAATGTCATTATTCCTGCTTGTACAAGAGGCAGAAGGAGCCATTTGTCCAGAGCCACAATGACAGAGCAAGGTGGTAAGTGTAACCTCCTTATGTGCAAAGAATTAAACGCTGGTGTGTGAAAAAGACTTGCTTAGCTACAAAATCTACTTCAACATTTTATTAACCCATTTTAGCATGGGTTTATTCACAGAGAACTTCATCCTATGACATTAAGTCATAGGCATTTTTACCCATTACTAGTTTATCAAGCTTATGAAGAGCCATGGTTTCCCTGAGCTACAAATACAAAGAGCCAGACTTTGATTACAGGCTCAGGTTTTTTGCCCTGGCACTTGTGCTTTGTAGAAGGTTTTCCAAGGGATTTGTTTGCTGTGCACACAGAATGGCTGGGGGGGTCAGACAGAGAGCCCAGGTCACGTTGGTCCTAACGCAGCACATCCATGGAGTTGGACAAGTTCCATTTGGTCTAACACAGCATAAAACTTCACTTGAAAATTCCTGGAGTTTTCCTTTTTGGGTTGGGAAGGTTTCACCAGATCCATTTACCTTATAAAAACACATATGTAGAAAGGGTATAAAACGACTAACTGAGCAGCAGTAAAGTTCGGTGCAATAGAAACTGAAATATTGCCAGTTTCAGAGAGAGTTCAGGGCAACCACCCCCAGCCCTGCTCTCGTAAGGATGGAAATCATTCCGTGGCCCCTTGCTGCTGCTTTGGCTCTTGGCAGATTATTTGATGATAAAATCTGCCATTAGCAGCAGCACAGCTTTTTGCCCACCGTCTGGCACTCAGTGGCTGATTAGCCATCGTCCTTTTTAAGCTAATAGCAAAATTAAGAGGAATGCTTGTTGTTTCTGTTTTGTTTATTGCCGTTCATTGCAGCCCTACACGCACTGACCAACCCGGCCCTGCTGAGAGTCCCAGCCGAGCTGCCCTGCTTTTGGGGGAAAGGCCTGGCAGCGGCAGGACAGATTTTGCAATGCGAATTCCTGTCATTTCGATCAAACCGTTGCTCACAAGGACGGCACACGGCTGACCTGTAAGCGCTGCGACGCGTCGCGTCTCTACGTTAAATCCCCCCTGCCCGAGCCCAGCAGCTGCCAGCAGGGCTTCGGGGGCGCGCTGCCCCTTTAAGGCCGACCCAGGCCGGGAGAGGCTCCATAACAACGGCTTGACTGCCGTGACCGGAAGCGATTGGGGGTCAGAGGTCGCCGCTGGCAGCGGGAACATGGCGGCCGTGGCCGCGGCGGCGCTGGGCGCCGTTGTGGCCGCGCTCGGCGGGGCGGCGGTTCCGTGAGCGAGGCGGGAGCCTCCCGCCGCTGCGCTGCCCCTTTTCAGGTGAGGGCTGGCTCCGGGGAGCTTTCGGTCGGCGCGAGCCGGGGCTCTCGGCCTTGGTTACTGGTCGAGCAGCGGGCAGGCCGGCACTTATGGCCGAGGTGCGGCGTGCCGGGCTGTCACCTGCATCCCGCTGCTCCGCGGGCGGGGCCGCCTTGTGGGGGATGCCGGGCAGGGAGTGGCTGAAGTGAAGTGCTTGAGCTCGTCTGGAAATACGTTCTCTGTGTGAGAAGCCTTGCTTTAGGGGTTGTTGCGTTTGTTACATAGATGAATAAACGGAGGGTTCCTGCTGTGGTCTGACCCTTTTCTTTTTCTTTTGGAGGCAGTGCGGTCTCTTGCTGACCTGTATGTACAAAGAAATCAGTCAGGTTTTCCCAGCTGTAGCTGCGTGCTTTGCTGTAGTTACTGCACCTGTTGTTACTTCTGCCAGCATTGCTGGTTCCTGTGCTGCTATCTCAGCTTTGTTCACTCTGTAGCGAAGCTGAACTTTGACCTGAATGGTCCCTAACGTAGGATGGGGAGCTCCATCCCACTGGCAGTCAAGGCTCTGGCAGTCAAACCACGTGGAACATAACTGCCTGCTGAGACCTGAGTGCTGGAGTTAAGCTGTGTGTGCTAGCTCATTTTGCTGCGTATGTATATTGATGGTGATAAGTGGATGTAACTGGTCTATTTTTAAGCTGTACTTATGCTAATTCATGGAGTGGAGTATGCTTATGTAACGGGCAGCTTATTGATTGCTAAGTGTCTCCATAACTCATTTACTTTGTGGTAGGTGTTTCTCATTTCAAAAACACCGCCTACGCTCTGCTTTTGGACTATGGACTTTTCAGTAGTGATTATTACAGCTGCGTTCTAACCTTTATCAAAGCACAAATTAATTCTGCTGTAGCATAGGTTGAGGTGGTTTTTCTTATGACTGTACAAACGGGGAAACATGGATTAAAAAGTGTCTTAAACTGAGCACAGTAAGCTGAAAGATGTTGACTGACTTTTTAATCAGGTTTCATTGTATTTTCTTAATGCTCTGAGTATAAGCTTTGGTGGCAGCTGTGCAATTTTAGCTCCTCAGCAAGTTAGGGTACAGTTAAGTGTGAATACATTGGTTGATATGTGGGCTGCATCTAAAAAGCATAGTCTCTCTCCTTCACAATTGCAGGTTACAGGTTACTGCTGCTTTCTTTGTAATGGATCTGATGATGATGCAGGGACAGTTGATCCAACAATTCCAAGGGGCTGTTCTTCTGTCAGTAGGAAGTTATTCTATTGAGTGTTTGATACCGTATGAATGAGAACTTTCTCCTTTTGCACTAATGTGGGTTAAGGTGCAGCTGTACCTCAAAAAACCGAATCCCAAAATGCTCGTTCAGTAGAGTAAGGACTACACTTTAAGCTGCTGAAGTTTGGATTTAAAAAAAAAAAAAAAAGGCAGCCCCTGTGTAGGAAATAAGTGGTAAGAAGGCAATGATTAACAATCTAAAGTGACTTTTAGTCCCACCAATTCTCTGTGTGTCAAAGAGCTCCTGTGCAAAAGAAGAGAAACCCCTTACAAAATGTTTTTTAGACTTTAAGGACAAGAGTCATGGGGGGAAACAGTATTGTGTCTTCCTGCAAAAGCCAAACTGAAGTTACACAGAGAACCCTTGATTCAGGTACATTCTGACTCCTCAGTCTTAGCAAATTTTAACTTCTGTGGAGTTCCCCAGTTTTTTCACAGAAGTAATCTGAAAAGAAAATTAAAGTGTTCACTAAAACATTCATGTGGAGTTTTAGCAGCATTAAGGTTACTTGATCCAGCAAATCTTTTTTCCAGTCTCACAAGTGGGAGACTGGCATGTATTTCATCTGTTTCTGCAGAGCCACTGCTTCCTCAGCTGCTACTTCTAAAGATGCCAAACTAAATTCTTAATCACCTGAGCTGCCCTAAGCACAAACCCTGTGCTTCTGCTGGCTTCTGCTGTCCAAGTCTTCTCCCGGTGGAATTTCACTTCCTAGTTTTTGCTTTATCGGTCTTAATTTATTTTCTTACTTCCCAGTCTTGCCTTTGGCTGGCAGGCTGTCATCTCCCCTGCCCCACACATCGCCCTGCTTTGCCAGAACATGCACCTCATTGCTTTTGCTGTCTTCCACTGCAACTCCTTGGGACACACAGGATACCTGTCTGGGCTTGTGCTGATTGTGTACAGGTGATGTTTGTTTTCCTTTCTCCTTTTTTCTTCTCTTAATTCATACTCTTCACTGACCCATTGTTCGTTTGTTTCTTCAGGTTGTGGTGTTGAGAACAGGCAGGTAAGATTCCCCGCTGTCTGTATCTGATACTGAGTTGCGAAATTTGGTTTGATGTTTTATTAGTTATGGATTGGTGGCAGCTGGCTTTTTTGTGCTATGTGTGTTGGTCAACACTTGGAGCTATTGGAGGGGAAAATGGAACCTTTAGAGAATTGACTTTTGAAACAGATCCCTTCTGAGTGTGTGAGAAGGCCTGCAGTTTGTTTTCGTGTGCCTTTTTGTTGATCTGTCTGGAAAGCTGACCACCACTGAAGACAGTTCTGCTTTGTAACGGCCCTCGTTGCTGCTGCAAGCACAGTGAGATGCTAGAGGAAAATGTAAGCAGACTTCTTTAAGCCTAGACATCATCTCTCTCTTTTCTTCTAGATATTTTTTTCTTTCAAGTTGAGCTCGTTTGCTTGTGAACTTGTTCTGCTATTAAAAAAGTATATATCCTTAATTCAGTTTGTGTTTATTGGGGTTTCTTATATGCTTAGAAGTACAGAATGGGGGGAAGCTTTTTGATCAATATAAAAACAGTTATTCTGCTTAGTTCACTCACTGTCTTTTAACAAGTTTAAGAAAATGAATTTACTTTTAATCTGACAATGGATTTATTCTTTTCTGGGATTTAATTGATGCAACTGTGGTGTTGGTTTGTTGTTTTTTTTTTTTCCCCTAAATTTTACTGCTTTTAAACATGCTTTTCCAAGGCTGCTACTTTGTGGTCCTGAGACTTCTCCACTGTTGAATGCTGCTGTCTTTTTTGTCACCCGTTGATATAAGCCTGCTATTGATGTCCTTTTGAGTAACAAGAGAGCAAGCAATGCTTTAGTTCCAGCAATTCTTGATGGTACAGCATAATCTTGAGTGCTTTGAGCTCGTAGCATTTGTGCTCTTCTTAAGACATTCACTGTTCTTCATGATTAAAATCAATGTATATCTGTTTGATTGAATGAATAGACAGCCCAGTGAATCTATATGAAGCAGTTAGGAGGCTTTCCATGTTTTGCTTGTAGAAAGGGATTCAACTTTTCTGAGGACTGTTCTAATTTCTTACAAAAATTAGTCTTTGAATTGTGGCAGTGTCCTACGAACTGCTGTGTCCTCAGACATGCTCATGGACTGTGTTGTGCTCCTTCACCAGGTCAGTGTAACGGCTGATGACAGTGTAACAAAGTGTAACCAAGACAGTGTAACAACTACAAGAGTCAAAAAGCAACAGAACACCCAGGCTTCTATAGGAAAACATGAAATAAAACCAAGCACTTCGTTTCTCTTGCTCATCCAAACAGAAGCAGTAGTAAGCAGTGCAGGTTCTGACAGGTCCATGTAGTCCTGATCAGTTCTAAGTAGGTGGGGAGTTACTTTCATCACCTGGGATCTGGATTGAGAATCAGTCTAGTGATGGTTGTCTCAGATCAAGATTTAGGTAACTGTTCAAGGTACTTGGAATTGTGATTGTACATAAAATAAACATACAGATCTGAGGTTAGTGTGTGGAGTGTTGTTTTTTTATTATTTCCTTCTTGTGTGGATGGTATGATAATGAATTCACCCAGATACAAGTGTGAATTGGAAGTTAGAAAAGTATGTCATCTTTCAAATATGTTAGGAAGACCCTCCCTGGTATCGAAAGGTGAGAACATTACTGTCCTGCTTCACGTGGGAGTTTGCATGAAACACTTCATACAGCATTGATACAGTTTTAAAAGTGGGGAGAACAATCACAGAACAACCAGGGTTGGAAGGGACCTCAAGGATCATGGATCTCCAACCCCCCTGCCACAGGCAGGGCCACCAACCTTTCAAACATTTGATGCTAGACCAGGCTGCCCAGGGCCCCATCCAACCTGGCCTTGAACACCTCCAGGGATGGGGCATCCACAGCCTCTCTGGGCAGCTGTTCCAGCACCTCACCACCTCATAGTAAAGAATTTCCCCCTGACATCCAACCTCAATCTTCCTTTCCTCAAAAACCTGAGAAGCCTTTATTCAGTTTGTTGAGCTCTCAGAGGGCCAGAAGCAGTAGATGAAGAGTCGAAACACTCCTTCCCCTTCCTCTAAACAGTATTTTTTTTTTTATGTCTGAGTAATTAATTCCACATCACTTGGTAATTTTGCTCTTAGGTTTCATTATGGTTTCTCTTAATCTAGTGCTGTTATTGATTTTTGACATCGATTTGCTCATTTTCCTTACAAGAAACAATCTACAGACTGCATTTGTTCGGATCAAGCATTAGCATTATGTGTTTGAATTCAGCAGATAATTGGATATCTTGCAAATTACTCAATGGGTGTTTCATCTTGAAACATTTAAAAATCCATTTTAGTTTCTTGTAATGTTTTAGTTAGACAGCAATCCAAACTTAGGACGGCGCTTTGGCAGCGATATGCTTATTTTTCTAAACTAAGCACAGTTTCTGTGGTTAAATTTTCCTTTCATTTAAATATAAGTTTTAATCGGCGTAGGCCAAACTTTTCCAACCATGCTTAAAATTAGCTTGAGCCATATTTCAAAAGATGTGTTCTCCTAATGTGATTGAACATATGTAGAGAGATGTACGCGGCAATGGATGTTTTTAAGCTGATTAATGCTTTTGAAGTGTTTTTATAACTTAAAAACATTTATAGACTGCCTAAATATGACTCGATACTAGTACTTTATGTAATTAATACCACTGAAAGCACTTCATGCTGTGTTTCTGAAGGTTGAAAGGTAGCTGTTTGGAAATGCGTTGTAAATTCTACCGGCACACAGCCAAGTTCCAACATGAGAACAAAGTAAAATGCAGGTGGTTTTGGAGATGGGTCGTGTTGCACCTTAGACAAGGTGTCACTGCCATGTTCTGGCGGTGTGCTGAAGGTGCAGATGGGTCTGTAGCAGATGTTAAGCTTTGTGTGGGAAGTGCTCAACATTGCTGCTGTTTCTGAGGACATACAGAAAGAATCTGATGCCAAAATTGACTCTTGGGTGGTTATTACAGCTCCATGAATTGCTGCCAGAAATTTGGTAGGCTCAATCTCTAGGGAAGTATTTAAAACCAAAACCTGTTGCCAACCTTATACCCCTTAGTATTTACCCAAATGTAGCTTAAAAAAGTGAGGTGGGGGATGTCCAGAAGGAGGTATGTATGGAGGTGAAGGGCACTGCTCTGCCAGCAGCCGTCTTTTTAGGTTGCCCCTTGTCAGCACTTGCACTCAGGGTGATGTGCTCTCACAGAGAATGGTGAAGGTGAATGTCATGACAGGGAGATGTGAGTGGCATGGATGTCCATTACAGGCAACACAGTGGGCTTTTCTGAGACTTGCGGGTAACTTTGACCCGCTGGTCCTTTGGTGAGAATGATTTAGAAGTGAAATACTGGCTGGGTTTGGATGTGGAAACGTAAAACTTAGTTTGTCAGATGTTTCACTTTATGGGCTTCAGTTTGCTTCTACTTCCTAATAGTTAATTTTAGAATAAGTGTAGGTTTGCTCAGATGGTTAATTCCATTTGCTGTCACATCACTTTTGTTACTGCTATTTACACTCTACTAGAATGTAATGAATGTGCTTTTTAAGTAAGCTGATAACATTACAGCAATAGTAAGCAATAGCAACTTTATCATGATTATTTGTGGCTGCACGTTGTACTGTTACACTGAATCCTATTAAACTTAGATGGAATAAATATTTTTGGATTTTGCTCCATGGTTTTTCTCGTAACCAGGACTGTTACCTGGAATTCATATGGAGCATTGCGTGGAGCCTGGTAAAGTAAGGCGAGTCATTTCCTTCTAGTGCCCTGCCTTGACAGGACCTTTCTTTCAGATTTCCCTTTTCATGTGAGAACATCAGTAAATCTGTCAACTTGAGCAGTGGTTTGCTTTAAAGAGAAAACAGTTTTAGGCATTTCTTCCAAGGTTTCTTGCCCGGGTTTGTCTTTGCAACAAGTAAATATATTGCCATGGAACTTATGTGTAAGCCATCATTAGACGCTGGAAACAGTTAATGTTTTGGGAATTGACATACACCTCATATTTGGAAAGAGGGTGTTAGAACTGGTTTAATCTCTCCTAAATAACTGGAAGATGGAGTATAGCGTTCTGGGAGTGTGCGATCTTTCTGCAGTTTGGGATGGACTGCTCCAGGAAAAGAAAACACAAAGAGATCAGACCCGCTGCAGTTTGTGCTGTCTCCAGGAGATGGATGGGTTTTGCACTGTAGCTTCCTCAGAAAAATCCTCGTGTGTCACTGTGATTTACAGAAAGTGTTCTGCAGGCTCATCCATCTGTTTCTGACCGCTGGCAGTGACAGTGTCTCCCAGAGTTACGGCTTTTCTCAGAGAAATGGGTTCTTTTATTGGGAACATCAGGTTTAAATTTTCTCATTCAAATACCGAGTTTAAAATAAAACCCTGTCAGTTTCCACTATTTCCAGTGTTTGCATTGGTCTGCTGTACGTTACAAGATGAATACTTCATTATTTTGTTATGTATGGTTGTATCTTTGAGATCCATTTCCATGATTTACTTCGGGCAGTCATTTGTGTGACTTTGTTCACTAAAAAGTTTTTCTGCTTCTGTTACATTGCAGGTTGTTGTACTTTGTGTATCTCAGTGCTACTCCGAAGGAAGGATCTTGGTCTCTTAAATGTTGAGAAGCAGTTGGTTTTGCACCTCTCCATTGGATATAGCGCTATGTGTTGAGCAGTATTGGCTGTAATAAGCAAGAAAAACCTCCCAAATTTAAGTCAGTGCTTTAAGTAAATGATGTATCTCGTTTAGATTGTGGCAGTATTTATATTATCTCTTCCCTACAGGACAAATAAATAGAATTCTTTTCTTGTTAAAGTAGTTGCAGTAGGTTATTCTGCTGCAGAACAGCACCATGTGAGACACAGCCCCTTGTGCTGCACACCATGTCTGAAAATACACTAATAGCAGGTATTTTGAATCAGTGAAAGTAACGTCATGAAAAGTTTAGAGGATTTAGTAAGCTTTGATTGCATCAATCACATGTTAGCATGATTTCCTTTGG